CAATACTTTCCAGGTAAATAGATGTGAAAATATAATGAGTACAGGGTAGATATGACCATTGTTGGATATACAAGACTCTTTTGTTCAAGAGTTATTATTTAGTTTATTTAGTGATTTAATGATTATTAAGTTTCATAACAAGAGTGTTAAAAGTTAATTATTTTAAAAGCGATAGTTATGACAAGTTTTGTTATTTAACACCGTACGAGTCGTACATTGTATACACAGTTTGATTGTTGTACCAGGCTTTTATAATGTTGTTGACGTCATCTTACTCGAAGCTTCTACATTTTCTCGTTATGTGAATGTTGTTTTCACTAGAGGGCAGATATTTCTAGATATTTCTGTCGCGTGTTATAAATAGGTGCAGTTACAGAAAGAAAGAAAGAAGTTAGTGAAAGTGAAAGTGAAAGTAAGACAAAATTAGTGAGAGGTATGGATCTAGACTGGGTTTGTAAGTTTAGTCACAAGGAGAGTAGAGTGGCGACTTTTAAAGTGTTATAATTTGTAAGAACCAGCGTAGAGAAGAATAATTCGTCTTGTCAATTGGGTTCTGAAGTAAATGAACCAGACTGTGTGGACTTTGATGTAAAATAGAATTATTTAAAGCTCTGTATACAACTCTGGTAATCCACAGGGTAAAGTAAATGAATTTACCACTAATTATATTGTGATAACAGAGTAAAGGAGAATAATTTGTCTTGTCACAGGGTGTTATGAATTAACTGAACCCGCCTGTGTGAGCTTTGACGAAAAAGAAACAATTATTTAAAATTCTGGATACAAGTGTGATAACCAATAGCGTAACGAATTTGTGTACATACATTTGACTTGTTTTGAATATATATAGTTTTAAAATAAGTGGATTGTGTGCTGTCCATTTATTGTTCAAATTTATCGTCAACAAGTCACAGACACCTACTGTAAAGAATCAGGCCCTATAAATCATGACAACCACTCAATGATTCTTTCTAAATGTCAGACAATGTTTCAACCAGAAAAATCACTCTGTGTTTTTGAAAACAAGGATCATAATGCCCTTTCAATCACACGATCGTCCTAACTGTCGACAATCGAGTGATAATTCTACAATGTAATACATATACCATACCATTTAATAGCCCAGAAAGCAAGGGTCACAAGCCTAGATAATCAAGTGGAAATCACATACATTTTATAATGCATCACTTGAGAGCTTGGAATGAAAGAAATTCCATTTCCTTTCAGTTATCAGGTGCTCGACCTAATGACTGTCCTAGCTTAAATCCATGGCTGTAAAATGTTTCACCTGCCAAGTGACAGAAGTCATTTACCAGTAACACGTCTGGTTTTTCTTGATTGATTATCTGTGGTCTGAACCAGAGTTGGGGATGAGTTGCTCTGGTTGGAAATAGCTTGATAGTTCTGTGGAGATCTCCCCTAGTGGCCCAGGACTCGACAGGTGCCAATCACTGTGATTGACCCTCAGTTATCCTTGCTTCATTAAACTAATGTGTGCTTCTTCATCTATAATAAGTCATTCTGTTAGTAAAATCATCCCTTAAACTCTTTTCAACACAGGATATTAAGCAAGGGCTAACATGCATGTTAACATAAACAGAAAACTCTGCAATATATCCTGTGGTCACAATGCTAGTTGTTCCTTCCTATCCACTTGTGTTATTCTCAGGTGAACTGATTTCTACTCAAGAATTGTATAGGCCCACCAAATAACAATAGGGTCAAACTGGAAATTTGGAAATAATCTGAATCTAAAACTTCACTGAATTTTACGTTATGTAAGAAATAAACATGTTGGACACATTTGATGGACACTGAAAACTATTTTTGTTACAGCTGTACACAACAACAACAACAAATAATAATAATAATTTGCATGTGCACATTATTAACATTATTATTTTTGTATCCGTAATAAAGATTATGGCTAAGTAGTCAAACGCCTCTACTAGGCCAAGACTAGATCTTTAGCTTTTTTTTATTTTATTTTGAGATGAACCACTGTAGAACTAGTAACCAAGAAAGCTGAGTAGAATTCTAAGAAATTAAAGCTCCGTACTGATTCATGAAACCTCGGTATCTCAGTGTGCTCGCAATAGCGTTTCTATGTGACTGGTAATTCTCTCATAACATTCGTTGGCTATAACATACTGTTATCATCTACTCAGTAAGCAGTTATTAATCCTTTCAACACGAATGTACGACAACATCCTCCTCAGGCAGAGAAAATATTATCTGCTGTAGATAGCAAAAAAAAAAAAAAAAATCAACAATAACAAACAAATAAAACACACAGACACTCGCAAAGGAAACTAGAAGAAGGCAATTTCAGGGTTTTCCTGAACCATGTGTTTGTGGTAAATTTGCAAAGAAATTAACGGATTAAACTAACTAAAAAAAATATGTAACAATTTACAATCCTATTATTAATTTGTATAAATCTGTGACCCTTAAAGGTCAGTACTGCGCCCCTCTGAGCTGTTCGCCCTACGCGACTGCCTAGTTGGCCTAATGGTAGCGCCGGCCCTGATCCTATATTTCTAAAAGTAGGAAGAGAATATCTGATATACCTGAATACCACACTAGAATTAAAAATATATCTGTAATATATACACCCCGTCTTTCAACTGCTAACCGACACTTACATTTAATCCCAATGCTCTTGTTACGAAAGCGGAAGTCACGTGACGCTAGTAACACGTCATGATATTCTCGAAAGTTCTTGAATGCTCGAGTGTTTACTAGATGTGCGGTATTCTTGCATATAAGACCGCCAAGAAGTGACGGCAACAATGGAATTGATTGCAGACAGGGACAGAGAAAGACAATTGAGTCAAGCGCGTGAATCGTTCGTTGTGAATTATAGTGTTTGTTTAAGTTATAGCATGACTGTGGAAATTAAGTGTATTGCAAAGTCGTATTAAGAAATAATAAACTGGTTTTATTTAAGAAAGGGCTTGTATCGCTAAAGTTTCTTCGGAAAGAAATTTTACGGAAAATTAACAAACGAACACAGAGGTGTAACACTCTGTTTAAACTTCATTTGAAATCTTTGCCTTTTTAATTTACTTTTTGTTTCTTTTCCAATATGATATCTTCTTGGAATCTTATGACAAATGATTTATTTTGAGAATGGTATTCATGAAATGTTATCTACAAAAGTTCCCATGTTTATCTTGTTATTTGTTAGTTTTTGTTAATTCATTTGATAGTCTCTCTATTTTATTTAGTTTTTTGTGAGATAAAGTTTTTATTTTACGCTCTTCCCGATAAGAATACTACCATTTTCTGGTTGTGCTGGTACTGCGACTTGCTATTTAAGTTTTAACTTTATTTTTCGGTTAATTTTTTTAACTTTTACGAAATACCAACTCTTTCAGATGCCGTTGCACATGATTCAGTCGCAGGATTGAAGTCGGTATGTGTTGGTAGCATTTATTATCCCGCAGTTTTCAAATTCTAAACCGTGAGAGGCTCGCTATATCACACTTCACAGTAACTTGAATAAGTGACTCATTTTAAATATCAATTCAGGAAAACACGTATGTGAAAATGCATCAGTTATTTAAAGTATTATTACTTACTACCTTATTTTGTGTGTCAGAGGGTCTGTAGACTAGTGTATGAGAACTAAAATATTTGGCCTACTTAGCGCCACTTTCATTTCGTTCTATTACTACTACTATTATTATTAGTAATTACTACTACTGCTACTAAATTATTAAGTGTAACTTATGTGTATGCGTAATACTAATATTAACAATATTTAATAGTGTAAATACTATATTGGGTGTTTTTTCATAACTCGGTAAATTCGTTGTTATTATTAATGTTATTAACAGTTTATTAGTGGATTTTGTAGAACTTGAAATTATCATTAGTATTATATTTCTTTTGTAGGATCAGAAATTGTGATAAATTAAGCTTTTTAAAAAACTTTGATTGTGAAGAAATAAGGCCTGAATGGGTGAATTATCATCACTGACATCAGTGAATGAAAACATTACTGTATTCTAATCATCGTATTAGTGATATAATTTGAACAGTTTATGTAATTAAGTTTCAATTATACACTTTGTTAACTATATTCGTTTAGTTCTAATCATGTAGGTAGTCTGTTTGATCAGAAGTTAATATATATTAAATTTATTTGGAACATGGTTTGAGTCAATGTATAAGAAGTTTAATTTCTATAAATATAACTGTGGTAGTACTAATATTATCAAGTATTATTAACACTAGATTAGTAGAATCTAGGAGAAACTGAATTGAGAAAATGGAGTAATAATGTGAAGTTCAGGATATAAGGATAACCAAATTTTTCTTTCAGGTTCTATTCAAAATATATTTTATATATTTTCTTTGTATATTTACCTTGATTAATTCAATTTCAGTGTTTTTTGTTTTTTAATATTGTTTTATACAGCAATAATAAATGCAATAGATTACATAATTCATGCAAAATTTTTGTTGGTTTGATAACTTTTTAATGGACTGCATGATGTTGATGGACTGTTGAATGATGATATATTGGCTTCTATGCTGCACTAGAAGAAGGCTTCACTATAAAAACCAAAAAGTAATCCCCTTGTAATTCAACAGTTGATTGCTTGAAATCAAAGATAAAAGTAATTTCAATGCAATTAAATCTAGTATTTGATCTACCTAGCAAAAAAGACTGACTCTTCCAACAAATTTCAGTATTTCACAAACTTTATTAATTTATTAGGAAATCAAACGATGCAATCCATGTTTTCTAAATATTTTTGTATAATTATTCATTATTGTATAATGATGTATAATTATTCATGTAAGAATTTTGACAAGAAAAAAGACTTATTATGGTTCTAGAATGTAATCATTTCATCAACTCACACTCTTTAATGTTTGAATTTTTGACATTTTGTCTTAATAGGCTTAGTAATATATATTTAGTGTTTATTATATGTAGACAGTACACAAATTATTAAATGTTTGATACAAAAACTTGTGTTTTAGTCCACTTTGAATTTTGCATGTCAAACAATTTTATCTAAAATATGTGAGAATTAAACATTTTGTAAGTTATTGCATATCATTTTAACAATAAATAATATTTAATACAAAGGTTAATTGATGCGCGTGTTTTTTTATTTTGTTTTTACATACAATTTCATTACTTTTTTTTTTAATTGACCATTTGAGACCATTTATTAAATTGCTGTAACACTTATACAGTGGCTCAGTCTGATTTTTTTCACCACGTTCTGATTTTTTCATTATTATTATTTTGTTTTGAGGGGCTTAAAGTTGGTGAGAAAAAAGGAATCTTAAAATAAGACCTTAGCCACAGGTATTTCCATAATGTTTTGTGTGTCCAAGGGGCTCCTATAAGTCAATATTAATTACCAGTTTTTGGACTACTATAAATTAGTTTAATTTACATGATTGAATGGTAGTTACTGTTTTTAGAATTTTTGTTTCATTATTGTTATTAGGTTATTTTTTTTATTTAAAACATTTGCTTTTCAGAACATAAGTGATATTTTCATTGTTACTGCTGCTGGAAGATTTTGACAGTGCAGTGTATGATTCATGTTGTTCAGTTAACTCGTTTTAGTTTATTATTTTCAAGTGTAAGTTCATTAGGGCTGTAATGAAGGAAACATTTTAACTTCAAAGGCTAAAATCACATTACCGAACACATCCTCCATGAACAGTAGATCACCATAAGCACTTGCACTCAAAATTAATTTCAGTATTGGTATTGTCATGAACAGATGCATTTATTGAAGTTAAACTTTGTTCAGTTCAGTGAGAGTTGTACTGTATTGTCAACTTTAATTCATTTCCTTTTATTTGATTTCAAACTACATTGCCTTTCACTTACTGCATAGAAAACAGGATCTGTAGTTACTTTTACAACAATGAATTTTCAGGTGATGGTGACTACTACCTCTTCTCGAGGTTCCGTCAATATTGTTAACTCTGCCTCTACTTTGTTTGTTGACACTGGAGGCTCATCGACTGTGATGGACATTCCTGCTATTGTTCAATGTTTTCATGGGTTCATTAATACCTTCTTTGCTCCATGTTACTACCCTGCATCAGAAGTGAATTCCCCTCTTTCTTAGCTCAATCACAAGAATGACAATTTTGATGGGCTCTTTCCACCTCCTGGGTTTCCACTAGGCTCAAATTACCTCTGGAGGACAATGTTCCTCCTCCAAATCTCTTTGTGGATTTAATTTCTCAGGTTTGTACTTTACTTTCTGATTTAATTATGTCTTTTAAGTCTTTCCATTCTTTACTACATTTCCCTCCTGCTTAAGATTCTTTGATTTTCTCCCTTCTCCAGACTTCCATGTCCATTCTGTCATGTTTCTGGATCAGCTTCATTCACACACTCTCCAATGCCTAATCTTCCTTCACCCCAGGATTTATTCATTGCTTATGGTAATTTTCTTTTTCCAATTTGGATTCCTTTTTACCTGCTTGGGAGGCTAACCCCCTGTTTCAAATAACTCACTCTCTTTCTCTAGTGCTCATTTTACCTTTTTCCAACCTATCTGCTATGCTGCCTATCCTTTATTCTAATTTATTTATCATCCCTCTCTGAATATGAAAATTAATTACTCAATATAATATAGATATTCCAAAGGCAAAGTCTAATTTTCATAGCCTTAAATCTTATTTGTTTTACAGAGTCATAAATTAGAAAACTATACCCATGTACTATGCCCACTTTTTACAAATTGCCATGAATTTTTTTCTAACGTATCATATTTATAACAATAGAAAGGCAAAGTCTTAATTTATTAAGTGATATATAATGCTATGTTGTTTTTGATACAAAGTACTGTCAATTTTATCTTTGATTTGAAAATTTATCATGTGGTGTTCAGATCAAGTAGCAAAGGGAATTAATCTAAACCCCTCTTGTCTTAGTTAGGAAGCCAGTTAAATTATAATAGTTATAGGACATTGTTTGCTTTGTGTGTATTATTGTGTATTCTTAAGTTCATTATTTAAGTAAATAAAATTTTCTATATTAGTGCCATTAGTACAAAGAAAAGTAGGCTTAAATTTCATCTGCAACTGACAGCATAAAAACAAAAAGTCAAAGCTAGTATTATATTTCTTATGTTTTGTGTATACTCTTTATTTATGGTTATGAAAGTAACTAATATGTGACAACTAAAAACTTATTAGGTTAGATAAGATAATGAAAAATAATAAAAGTTCATGAGGCATGAATTAAGTATAAACAGATGTAGACTGTTACCAGCTTTTAGCTATATAAGATAAACAGTTAGTTTTCTGTTACAATATGAAGTCATTCTAAAAAGAAAGAAAAGAGTAATTTAGATTTATTTTGTATTTTTATGGTGGTTATAAGGTCTGTTAAATTGATTGAGTCCTTATAGAATTAGGGTAGAGAAAATACAGACAAAATATAAAGTTTTACTGAAAAAAAAAATATATTTATTTAGGAGGTTTTAGAAGTTATGCAAATGAAATTTGACAATTTTAAGATGAACAAAAGTATTTTTAATCTTAATATCAAAATCACTTTGCACTTGGAGCAATCAGTACTTTGACTCCATATATTCATGGACAAATCTTTAGTAAAAATACTTAATTAAAAGATGATGTTTTGTGTACAAAAGACTTGAAAGCTTCCCAAATTGCCTGAAGATGCAAAAAATATTAAAAGTTATAGTATGGAAACCCTGATGGCTGGTTTGTGATTACAATGTCAGTTACATTGATTGACCTCTTATGGAATAATATATACTTACTTCTCTAAATCTACATTAGGTCTGGAGTAACAGTAAGCATTAAACCCATCTGCCCTGGCTCTAAATGTGCTCACTGTTGAGATGGGGTATTTCACAAGACAACTAAGGTGGTATATACATATCATTCATTGCCCATTCCAGACTGTACCTTCCATTGACTAAAATAGAAAAAGCCAGCACTGGGAGAAGTGTCTTCCTTCTTCTTTGGCTCATGCATGCTGACTTTTCAAATTAGGTTTTCTGGTTACCCATTGCACTTTCTCAAGTAAAAGATATTTGGTGTGGTCTTCGAATAAAGCATGAAAGACCCTTGTCACTTCCAGCTTTGAGCCATGGTGGGTGTGGGAGAGTTCTCCCTGCAGAGAGGGAGTCTGAGTGGACAGCACAGTGCAGTGGGAAGTAGGGTGGGAGTGTCCAAGTCAGTGTAGTGCAGGTCACCCCTTTTATATAAAATACTAATTTTTCAGTGGCTTAACCACTGCAACAGGAAGGGACCTATGTCTATGTTTTTATGTGTATGGTGAGTGAATAATATAACAGAACACATACCAAACCATTAAGTCTGGTCATTGCCTAGCCATACTGCATCTCATGTCCAACTGACCTGTTGTTACAAATGCTCGGTTGGTCGAACATTTTTCCACCCATCCTTTACCTTCTTGCTTTCATACCTACATCTGAGCAAAGAATGTACATTACGTGAGATGGATTCAGTCTCCCACAAGTGTTGCCCCCACCATAGGGTGTGACATTCCATGGGCTTTCCCTTTCCATCACCTTTTTTAAAGGGAGCTCATCTAGGTTTTCACAATTGAACCTGTGTACATTATTTTTGCCTTGTCTAAAAATGCAATTAATTTGTAAGAACAAGTGCTTATGGGATCTACTGCACATGGAGAATGTGTTGCCCTCATATTGGTAGAGGGTAGTTGTCTTATGAAGATTACATTATGCTCTAACACAGTTCACATTAAAACATCTTAGATGGGAGATAGGTGAAGGATAATGGCAGGTGTGTGATTACTGTGTGCTGAGAGGAAAGTACATATCGGAAATACATTTTCAGGTACAGAATATGTCAACTTTTGAAAACCAATGAGTATGTTTCAATGATTTTGTCTTTTTTTTCAGGTTAAAAGATGTCAGTGAAGAACAAGAGTGTGGGTACTAAAGCAGTGTTAGAAAAAAATCCATTGATTGTTTAGACAGTGTTCGACAGGTTTTACGAGAAGTTGAAGAAAGACAGGCTAATCTTGAATTTCAGTTAGCTTTAGCTCTTCATTCTCAAAGAACTGAGGAGGTATACCAAATGTTAGATGATTTATCCAGTGTGTAAGTTGTATTTATTATAAATTTATTATAAAGTTATTTATGTTATCTCAAATATACCACCTCTTACCCTTCTTTTTTCAAGAGAATATAAGTTGAGATCTTAACCTACTATGTCCCAGCAAGATAACCCTTCTGTCTCTGGAATCATCTTTGGAGCTCTTTTCTAAACCTTTTCCAATAAGTCAATATCCTTTCTTAGATAAGGAGACCAAAATTGTATACAGTGTTCTACTTGAGGCCTGACAAGAGACTTACATAAAAAGATAATCATTTCTTTTGATTTATAATCAGTATGTCTATAAATATACCCTAAAATTCTACTAACTTTATTGTTTGCAACAGAGTACAACTTTGTTTGCTTGAGTGACTTATCCTCCACTATGCCAAGATCATTTTCTTTAGTCATACTATTGAGTTGGTTTCCATCTTTGTTAAATGCATGATCCAAATTGTAACCCAAATGCATTACTTGCACTTATTTGGACAACTTATCAGTTGATTCAAGTCATTCTGTAGTACCTCAACATCTTTAATACAGCTAGAAATACCTAAAAGTTTAATGTAATCAGCAAATTTGATTAATTTGCTAATTATGCTCCTAACAATATCAATAACATAACTAAGAAAGAGTAAAGGCCTAAGTGCTGACCCCTGAGGTACTCCACTAGTTACAAAGGTTCAGTTTGACTGGACTCCATTGATAACAACTTTTTACTTTCTCCCAGCCAAACACCCTATAGTTGTTTCCCCATCCTCTACCTATGTGATTTTCTTAGTTAATATTTTATGTAACACTTTACTAAGAGCTTTTTGAAAATCTAAGTGCAAAAAGTCATTCCCTTTTCTTCATCCAGATATTAGACTAAAACTGTATGCTGAATCTTGAATTAATTGTTTTTGGCATCATTAAGTAAAGTTATATATAATATATGGTAATTAGTTAAATATAATTTACATTTTATATTGACACCTGCTACACGGGCCAACTCAGCATTTTTTAGTATGGAGTCTAGGATGGTCAACAGGGAGGTCATTCTGGAATCTGGTGATTTAGTGTTATTTTGATAGATCTCTCGAATAATGAAGCTCGAGACAACTTCTAAAACAAAAATAAATATTAATAAAAATGACATGATGACATCTATATGGATTATACTGTGGTGGTACCATACTGGGCATTACACATCTTTCGTATATTTACTCTTCATTGTAGAAATGACATTTTTAATTTGAGAATTGCTAGGGACATCATCTTGTAATGCACTGTGCATCTGCTTTGGCTTCAACCCTGCATCTTTAGGCTTTACTGTGCCATTAGCTTCACACAATATTGAAACTAATGATTTCTTATATATGATTCCAATCTCCTTTTTTGAAAAAAACTGTTATGATGCATGTTGTTTTATGTTTCACTGTCAGTGCAGTAATTAATTGATAAACTTCTGATTCAATGATATGTCATAACAATTGGGATATCTTCGAATAAGTTCTTTCCTCATCCATCCTGGATGTGTGGTTTAGCTTAATAACCATATCTAAAACATTTCAAGCACATTTCATTGCTACATTGTTTTTCTTTGCATTTACAAGTTCACTTCTCCATCTTGGCTCTCCTGTTTTGGGTCAGGTCACAGGTATGGTCCAGTGACCTCAACCTCGAAAATAGTGCAAAATGTCTTCTTTTTGTCTAATAAAAACAACCCAAACCTTTCGTTATGATCCACATTAATATGCCAGGCTGGCTCATGAAAAATAAAAGAAATATAAGAAAGTTTCTAAGTGAAAAGTCTGCTATACTGCAAACCTTATAGTGTAGTTTCTGTGGAAAAAATGAAAGTAAATGATTGCATTTTTAAATAACAATGACAGTAAAGTATTTAACAATCTACCAGAAAAGTACTTTGGTAGATGTTTTTTCATCTTTAAATTTATTAGATTGTTATAGATTAGAAAACTGCTCACTTGAACTTTAAATATACGTTTGGTATATGTGAATGTTAAATAATGTAGCGAAATGATATAAACAATTTTAGTGAGTAAGATAATATCAATCATCAAATTATCATTCATTATTAGAGATGTCCATGTAATCACCATATTGAATAATTTTGTTTTTGTATGTTACAACAGTCAGTGTAAACAAGTGACCAGGAAAATTGGGTAAAGTCAATTTTTCTATGTAAGATACATAGGGAACCCTAGCACTAAATGAGAGTGATTAAATGCAATGTTGATTGTTTTTTTCATGTGAAATTTTTATATGATCCATTTGTTATAAGGGACAAAGTCAAGGATTTTAGTGAAATTTGGTGTATAAATAGTTTAGAATAATGTGTTTAAAAAAACTGATGGGGGGGGCATATGAACCCCCATCAATAGTAAGTGTTAAATGCTGGAAAGAATAAAATAAACGATTTTTCTATTATATAATTTTTCTTATAAATTAAAGAAATTAGAGTAAAATTTTTATAAAAATAATTTATGTACAACAGTAAAAGAACACAAAATCAGATGTAAACACCAACCATTGTTACTCATTTTTTTCACATGTAAGTCTTATTGACTTCTGATGTGATCTACTTCTAGATTATACATGTGTGTTATGTTTTATTGTTTGTTTTTAAAAGTGATAAAGTTGAACTTGCAAGGGTACGGCAGTTAGTACAAGAAAGCATTCAAGCCACAGAGAAAGAGGTTCAGGTAAGCTGAAGTATCTGATTAGTATTTAATTGAGAAATTTAGTTAACTGATCTGTTAAGTGTGGAATGGAGAATTAATTATTAGATTGGGACTGACTATGAATTAGTATTAAGTAAGATATACTTAGGATCAATATATTGGGGTTTAGTTGAGGTGAACTGTTGGATAAAGGTTGAATATGAATGGTTGATATTATTTAAGTTAAACTTTTGGATCAGGTTTTAATCCAGGAATTGGGTTTTGAGTAAGCTAAGTTATTGGGATCTAAATCAGGACTTGGGTATTTGTAAGTTGAACTGCCTGATAATGGCTTAATCTGGGAATTAAAGATTGCAGAAACTTATTGGACCAGAATTGAACCCAGGAGATGAAGATATGGTAAGCTTCTCTATTGAATTAAGTTTGAAAACAATGAATTAAGGACTGTGATAGCCAGACTATTAGATCAGAGGAATAGTGACCAAGAATACACCACAATGGGTAAAGCAAGTGGTTTTGGGAATTAAACACAAAACCAATGCCAGAAATATGTTTATATGTTAGTGGTGCTCATTGTAAAAAAAAAAAAAAAAATAGAAAGAAAAGAAACGTATTTGAATGATAAATTTGAAGTGATTTTCAACTCAGTTTTTAATTTAATAAGATGGCTCAAAATAGCTAACTTAAAATTGTAAATATTTTTTGGAAGACAGCCATGTATTGATCTCGTATAAGTTTCTTTGTTCTCATCCTTGAAAACTATGTTCAAGTGTTACAAAATAGATAAAGAATTAAAGTTTTGAGAATATGCAAAGGAAAGCTCTGTTGACCAGTGTGATGTTAAAATGGAGATCATCGTTCTAAAGAGCAGCTGTGACCTTTTATTGAATCACACAACTTACCTAGCTAATTGTGTGTGTATACAGATTGTTCTATATTTTCAATATAACAATTGCACATCAAAGTTACTTGGTCTTTATTTGGCAACTAGATTCCTCTGTGATTTTTTTTTCCCCATAATCTGAACTCTTACTAGATTAAGCTAGTGTAGCATTATGCGGAATTTTTACATGTACACTGCTGGTTTTTAAGTCATTTTAATCATGTTCATACATTGTACAATAAAGTAATGTTATTCAAAGAAAGTAGAAAAATAATCATAATTATGCATTTTTATACAAAAGAATTAGTTTTAACTTTTATTCTATGACATGACTTTGCATACATTATCATTACACTGTGAGGCTTAGGTTTAATAAAATTTGAGAAAAATCAATTTACTTCTCTGGTTGTACTCTCTCCTATGAATTATCTATTTTTTAATTTTTTAAGCTAAATCATATTTTTCTGTCCTAAATTAGATTTTCATAAAAATCTAACTCCAAACGTTTTATAATTCCTTTTGCTTTCAAACTTTCCAGCTATATGATCTATAAAATGTTGATAGCATGTCTTAATGAATATTTCTATACAATTGATCAGTTTTTGACATGTAGCAAAGGTAAATTTGAGTAGCTTCATTTCTCTTCGTATATTATTGGCCATTAATAGATGAAGACATAATGATGTGATGCCAAATGCAAATTTCTGATGAGTTAAGAAAGATTATTATTTTTTAGAACTGAGCAGATGGGCATTAAGTAAGAGGTTTTAATTATTTAAAATTGATTAAGACTGAGAACAATGGCTGTTAAAGGCAAATAATGATTATAAAAAAGCTGTTTGCTATTGCAAGCGTTTTTCTTTATTACTGTTATATGTTCTCCTTGAAGTTATACAAATGCTTTTAAATGTTGTCTTCTGATTTTACAAAAGAGAATGTTAACAATATTACTGACTGGGCAACCTGTAAATTGTGAAATTTTGGGATTTACCTGAATCATATAAATATTAATCCCTTGATTAAAGAAAGATTGAGAAATTAAAAATAAAGTAGCTGGTTCCTGGACCATGCATTGTTTTTAACAAGGGTTAAATTTAATCGTTCCTGGTTAAATAAGTGCAGTATGCTTCAAGATCAATATTGCACTATTGAATTTAAAAGATAACAGAAAATATACTTGTACTTATTTTTCCACACATTAAAAAAATTAAATCATTTCTGAGTTAAAATCTATTCGGTATAAAATAGTTTGTTATTTACCTTTATGCATAGAAATAATCAAAAGACAACAACTTTGGATTTTGGTTGACTTAAGCATACTCCCAACAAAATTATTAGTGTTTGTGAATTTCCTTAATTTGTTCTGGGCATAATAGCACTTATAGTCTCTCAAGGAGGAAATTCATAATAGTTTTGGACAAAATAGTGCTAACTTGTACTTGTAACTTCAATAAAACTTTAATTTTATTAATTTCTAACCAGTTTTTGTTTCTCAACCTCAGTTGTTATGTTGTGATTTAATTTCCCACAGTTCAGCTTTGAAAAGCCATAGGTTACTGATCTAAACATGTTGTGAAAGCTCATTTTTACATTCTTTTCAACATTAAAAGTAAAAAAGGCTTTCATTTTAACATTTTGCATAGAGATCAGAACAAAGCGATAAAAGCTTAACTAGGTGATGTATTGCTTGAAGAAGAGGTGTTTGTGGCCAATTTCTTCTTCAGTTTTAGTCATAACTTTCTTTACAGCCTGTGAAAAGCATGAATATAAAATAGCCATAAAGCTTATTACATATATTAAATGAAACCTGTTTAACAGTTTGAAAAAAGACCCAGCTGTGTGGTAAAAGTTATTTTTATTGTATGTATTGTTTTTTTGATTCAAAACAAAAATATAATTTTCAAAGAATGTAAGAATACACGGAAATCTACAAACAAAGGTAAGCATTTTTAATTGTTTTTTAAGATATCACAATGAAATCTTTTCAAAATTTGAAAGCTGCAAATTCGTACAAATATCACATAAAAGTAAGATATTTTATTTGCAAAAACAAGATGCATAATCTGTAGAAAGTAATTATAAAGTTTCAAGCTGCTTCGTCCAGTAGTTAGTTTTTGCAATGTAATCAGTCAAACTTTCATGACAACACTTATAAGTGACAAATATAGTATCTCCAGTGGCCATGAAATGCCCAAAACTTCATAATTTTTGAAGTGCACTCTAAAGATCTATTACATTTTACAAATAACCCTTAGAAATCTTAAAATACTAAATCTGTTTCTGGTTGTCTTGGGATGTTAATTTGATGATGTTATCAGCTTTGATCTGATGTAAGTAACTGGTGGTTTCATGAATGTAGACTTAGTACGAAATCATTTAGGTAAGACTGATGTTTTTTATAATAAAACTTCAGAAAACCACCAGGTGTAAGGTTAAGACATCATCATTAGCATCTACATCTCCAGGCATATGGTAACTAACCTGTTATTATCAGGTAAGGGGAATTTATGGTATTGATGTAGTAAGTGTATTTTAAATACCTTAATTTTGAGTAACAAGAAATGTATTTCAAAATATCTTCTTTGTTATCATACAAGTGTCAGTCATCGTGTTCAACTGAATGTTTACCATAATATTTCCAAGTATATTTTATTGGAAACATTCCTTAATATCCCCAAATTTTCTACATTTTATTTATTCCTAAAAATTTGTTTGTGGGAGGAAAGTCTACAGACACTTAACCTTTTCCTAATTAAACCAGTGAATTCATTGTAAGACTCATTATATCAATCAACATTAAATTCAGTTGTTATTGACATGCTGTTTCAGAATTTTCGTAAGTGCAAAAAAAAAAAGCTTTTTGAAGTATTCAGTAGAGTATTCAGTCAGAGTTTGGTATGTTTATCAATGGTAATCTATTTTAGCAAAAATATTCTTGCAGCCTTAATAACATTTATGTTTCTTAATTAGTAACACAATTAATCTTTGGTTAAATTGGGGTAGTGACAGTACTTCGTGATAGACTATGGGTTAGTCAAAAGTAAAGTGTTAAGGTAGTGTGTGTATTAGTTTTAGCAGAAATATCATTATTGCTAGCACAAATTGTATTAGTAAAAGTAAAGATAATAAAGGCTTTAATTAAATTCTATACAAATCATAGGGATTTTTAGAGGACTAAGATCCTCCTCTTATAGACAGATCATTAATTTTTGTGGTGGTGTTTATTTTGAGCTTTTATGGCTCATTTTAATTTTTTTTTTAATGCACATTGCTATCCTTTAACTGAATTATTTGGGGTTATAGTGAGTACTGGGAAAAGGGATTTAATGAAAGCAAAATTCTTTGATAGTATTGTTTGGATATAAATATAATCTTTATACTTTGTAAAAATTGTTTTCAGCTTGGTATTTTTATGTTTGATTCTTTCTCTAGTTTTATATATCTCGCATACTTTTTTTGGTAATAAGACGTTTGTATATTATTTGCAAAAGAAATTTAATGAGCACAAACTGTTTATAATTACTTTGTGAATCTAGGAGCAAGTAGCAGAGAAACTAAGGACTAAAGCATCAACTTCATTTTGCAGCTTTGGTATTAAAGAGTCGTCCAAAGAACGGAAGCAAATATCTGGTAACAAAGTGATGCCAGGAGCAACAAGAAAGGTTTGTAACCCAGTTTGAGGTTTTCAATACCATTAGAAAGAAGCACAGATGTTTCACATAAATTAGGTGTATAATACATTCATTGACTTGTGTCTGGGGGTGGTGGCTCAATAATGTTATTACTTTATAGACTTGATTCTCCATTTAATCAATAAATTTATACCAAGAGGAACCATACCCACAACTATATTTTAGCAGTAAGGTTTATCAAAACGAATAGGAAGTAGAAGTCTATTTAACTCTTGATGACCTTCTGACATCTTTCTGAACATTTTATCCTCATTGTGAATTCCTGTACATAGTGAGGGGTATTTCTTAGGTTTTGCTTATACAGTTTCTCTTCTCTGAGATCCAAATATCCACATACATGTTGCTGTCTATGGTGACCTGTGAAGGGGAGGAAAGGATCATGGTGATTGAGTGATGCTTGGGTTGCATGCCTACGTTACTGCAAAACACTATTTTGGCCTTGAATTCCTATAGACAGGAGGGCCTTAGGTGACTCCCAAGTCAGTTGCGGGTATGGTCAACCAAGTACCACATTAAGTGTTGTAGACATTATGTCTGATTCTTGTGGTGGGATACAGTGTGCACGAAACCTTTGCATTGCTGCACTGGCCTCAGTGTGGGATTGAGCATTTAACAGTGTACTGCATTCCTTTTTTAGGATTCCATAGTAGTGGGGTCAGTGGGTACCAAAGTTTCCTTTCTTCTTCATGGATGTTCAAAGTCATAAAGTCAAGGAGTTTAAATCTTGGTACCTGCTGGTTGGAACATGAAGACTGCAGGATAATGAACTACTTGAATTCAAAGGCCATTGAGGGAATACACATTGAGGCTACTTCACACAGTTATTTAAATTCCTCAAAAGGAACCAATGTTGAGAGGGACATTATTAACACCTTAGATTTGGAGATTCTTGCTGAACTCTCCAGTCAAGAGGTATCATTTGTCAGGAAAAATGTCATCTTGTAAGGGTGGAAAGTCTGTACCAACTAGGGTACTCAGATTATTTATATTACTATGTTCACTTGCTGAAGTAAAGACAGGTTATTTAAGATGCAGAGTGTGGCCCTGTATTCCAGACCCTCTTTATTGTTTCATGAAACTCCAAAACATCTTGTTGTACTCTTTAATCTGCACTCATTGCAGTGCCAAAGGTCATGAAAGCAGAATGAGCCATTCTGTATCAACTGCTTTGGTCTCCACACCATATATTCTAGATCATGTCCAAAATGGATTTAGAGGAGAGAAATTCAAAGGATTAAGACCCCAAGATGAGGAAGATGGTGATATATTTTCCAGAACATAGTTAATTGCAACATTTTATTCCACTGCCACATGTATTTCTGTACCACCTGCAAAGTCTTTCTCCAACCACTTGCTCATTCTGTTACCCTCCATGGACCAGGTGAGTGGTTGTGATTGGTTCTCTTGGCTCCAAAGTGCATTATTGCTATTTGTTTTTGACCTTGTTTGCTAGAATCATGTCCTTTTTAAGGATATATTCCCCTTTGATCCAGGGTAGGGTTAGGAGGTCAATTGGCCTTCTAGTGATAAAAATAAAAGAAATGATCAAAAATCAAAACAGAGGAACTTTCCATCTAGATCTATTCAAATATCTTAATGAAAATAGCCATGTTGGTACAGTACAACTGTTGTGCTAATTTAGACAGCATGAAGGACTTGATCAGTTCTTACTTTTCTTTGTATATTTCCTTGCAGGAGACTTTCTTAAACTTTTGTTACTATCACCATGTTGCATTATTGCAGTTTTTGTTATTCAGAAAGGACAGGTTATGACAGATGGATTCATGGGAGAATAGCATTGTTGGTCAACAAACATCTTCCTTCTATACATGTGCCACTCATTACATCTCTGAGGATAGTGTTACCTGTGTTTCCATTGGTTGTACCATGATGCTGTGCTCTGTTTACTTATCCCTAGGAGAGGAAATTGATTAAGCAGACCTCAGTGAACTTATTGAGCAGTTGTCCCCCTTTATCACTCTGTAATGGTTGTTATATTGATGGGAGGAGCTGATCTGTGGTGCAATTGCTCATGGATCACAACCTTTCTCTCTTTAGTACTGAAGAACATACTTTCATGCTCATGTTTAACATTTACTGCTGTAGATCTGTCTCTTTATTCACTCTTTCTTCTTTATTTTTCTTGTGAGGTGGACAGTGAGCTGCAAGGAAGTGATAATTCTTCCATCATTCTCAGAAAAATTTATTGCAGTTGATGCCACCTGACTTGAATACTATGGTAAAAACTGGAGAAGGCTTACTGGCCTACTTTCACCACTCTCTCAAAGCTTGATCCTGCCATTGTTAACCTTCTATCTGTAATGACTGTGTGGAGGCAGTAATTGATTGTATTGTCCAGGCAGTTGTCCCTACCTTTCCTAAAACTTAAAAACATTTTACATGGTTTCCTTGACCATGATGGACACCTGATTGTCAAAAGGCATGATGGTCTCAGATATGTGCCCTGGATATCTTATTCAGATATCCCACTGCAACCAATTGCATAGCCTTTAATAATGTTTGTATATGTGCTCAGCAGGTCAGATATCAAAGCCAGAAGGAATCATTGGTTTAAATTCACTTCCATCTCTTTATTTCCACCAACAATTCCAAGATCATTTGGGCCAAAATTCAAAAGGTCAAATGGGAATAAAACAAACCATCCCTTCTCAATCTTGGCAGCCCAGTAGCCAAGAAGTTGCTGATTTACTGGGTATTGGTAACATCCTTGGAGAGTGCATCTCTCACTACTCAATCATCTTCACTTGTTTCCCTGCTTTTTTCATCATCAAGACATGAGCTGAAAAAAACCCACCTTCTTTATGGTATGAATGTCTGTACAATTATAATTGACCATTCACTCTGGAACAACTCTCTAGTAGTTTGCCTATATGTCATTTGGACCAGATGACATCAAGTACAAGATATTGTCTTCTTTCTCCTGCTCTATTTTTTTCCTTCTTTTTAATCAGAAGGAGGGGTTTCCAGATTCATGGAATGGACTATTTTTCAACCTTTTTCCCTTAGCCTTGGAAATATCCTAGAATTCATTATCTATTACTTTGACTAGCTGTCTGTGCATACTTCTGGAGAGAGCGATTAATGCTCATCTTGTTTGGTTCTTTGAATCAAACAGTATCCTCTCTAAATGTCAGTATGGTTTCCACAGACAGGGATTTCCCATGGACCACCTGATTTGACTATAAACATCAGTCAGGGTGCATCTTCTTTTCATCCTTTTTTTATGAGCTTGAAAAGGCTAATGACACCACATGGAGGTTCAGTATATTATAGGACTTCTATTCATATAGATTGTGTGGCTATTTACTTTTTTTTCTGTAGCAGAGAGGCCATTGTAGGTCCTGTGGGATAAACTATCCTGATTCTTCCCACAGTAGCTTGGAGTACCTCATGACTGTGTCCTGAATGTTATATATTTTAACATTAAGAATAATGCCATCACTGAGCAGCTTACTCCATCAGTTACAAAACAGCCCCCGTGGCTATGTCTTTCAGATTTTCTATCAGTCATTGCTTGTGAAGTACGTTGAACAACACCTCTAAACACATGTAAGTGGATCCCTGCAAATAGTTTTAAATTTTCATTAACTAAAACTATTTGAATATATTTCTGTTGCCAGTAAGGATTGCACTCTGTTCCAAAGTTCCAGTTATGTGGTATAAAAATTCCCATGGATAACTGAGACAAAGTTCTTAGGACTTCTCTTTAACAATAAACTGACTTTTATTCCACATATAAAGCTGCTTAAAGTCAAGTGAACGTACTCTGCATTCTTTCTTTCATATTTTGGGGAGTGCTTTGATGTTCTGTGCTCAAAATTTATGATACCTTCATTTGATGTAAACTAGACTATGGATCTCTTGCCTAAACCTTGTTTAGGGACTCTGCATTGAAGATTTTGGACCCTGTGCATTGTCATGTTCTTTGGCTCAGCACAGGGGCTTTCTGCACACTTTTCCAGTTCAGAATTGTACATAGAGCCCTGTGAATCTCTATCTCACTAGATATTTGCAATTTTCTTTGCAGTATGCTGCAAGCTCCAATTGCTGCTATGTTCCACCTGACATTATGTCTTTGTGCTATGGTGTGCTCTGCATTTTCCATATAGATGGTCTACTGTTCAAATTTGTGGTCTAGATAAAGTTAACTGAAATGGGTGTGACATTGAATGATATTGCTGAATCCAAAGTTCAGCACATCTCGCCATGATTTGTTACCATTCCCCACTGCATAGTTCCATTGAGTCACCTGAAGAAGTCTACTTCTGATTGGAAGTCCTAACTTATCTATATCAAACACCGTTTGAGCCATCCTTCCATTCCCATTTTTTACAGATACCTAGAGACAAGGTAACACTATAGGTTCCACCACGGTTTACTGCAGCTTTATAGTTATTCACAGATTTTGTGTTCTTTTTTTGGGTTGTGTGCAATCTCAATCTCACTTGTTCTGGACTTCATAATAGTTAAATAGTAAACTAATTGTGCCATCGATACTCACTTGCCTTACTCTTTGAAGGTCTTGGAATTGTTTAATGTAAGTTCTCCCAGTTCATTTGGATAATCAGAATAGACTGACTCTTTTCTCACTGTCAACTGTCTCTATCTAATTTTTCTGGAATCCAGTGCAACAAGCCTGCTGACACTAGTGTTTAAACTGGCCTTCACTGGCAACATTACAGCTTTGCCTATTCTACTCTTGAGTTCAAGCCAGTTATCAAGGCAAGGCTTCATGATTTGGAGTGACCAATATTTTAATCAACTTCCCCAGATAAAATGTACTAGCAATGATTGGCTGTATATTTTGTGTTGGAATTGAAGTAAGGAAGCTGCCTTTGCAAGGCTTTAGTTTTGTAACTTGTCCCTTTCTCTTATAACGGTGTGAGCAGTATGACACTCAAGTCACAATTGCTTACATATTTCATTCTTGCTGTTGCTAACATACTAAGCGATAGTGCTAATTTAAGCATATTTTTGGTCATGGTATTTCATTGACATTGGCAGTGATGATAGTGTCCAGGTTGACCATGTTTTTAATTCTATTGCATATTTTAATGTTATGTATGCATAAAGTACCTTTTATGTATTATGTTTTTTACCTTATATGCTTATATTGTACTCTTTTAGTATTTTATTCTACTTTGTGTTTAACCCGATCTCTACGGGTCTTCCTATGGTCATGGGTGAAAGGCCATTTCATTGCATTTGTTGACTCGCATTCAAAATGTTATTGAACTACTAGTTTCTTTTTATGGTAGATTCCAAGCAGTAAGGTTTGACATTAGTGAGCTTGAAAAATCATATTTTCTTAGACCCAAATATAGCTTAGTTACTAAGCCTGATGAATTATAGTGAAATTGTATTGATATAGTAATTTATGATTTTTTTGTTATTTCAAAATGCATATATAAAACCTAAAAAAAATTGTTTTACATCCACCACGGGCAAAATTTGATAAAGCTTAGCAAATTAAAGCAAGCAACAAATGAGTACAAAGGTTGTAACAAGAAGAGATAATTATTTTCTATACTTCTTTATTTACTGTTCTATGTTTTAAGAAAAATAACTGAAATTTAAGAACTTGTAAATAGTAATAATGTATATACATAATATAATGTATTATAACTGAAATTTGACTATATTTTACGAAATGTTGGTCCACTAGAATACAGCCAAGACAGGTCACTTTGGAAAGGCCAGTTTTATATTCTTGGATAATTTAACATGAGTGTACGTGTGCCAGGTCATTCAACTTCTGTAATGTTAGTCAGACACAGCTGAAAGGTCAATCAAATAAAATAATAAATTTTTATATATGTATAATGTTATGAGATTTAATCTATTTATACTAAACATTTATGGTTTTGTGTTATAATTTTTAGTCATTCTAGTATGAAAAAAGCGTAACTTATATCTATTTTAATTTTTATGGTGGTTAAGAGGTTGTTTGAATCAATCAAACCCATACAGAGATACAGTAGTGAAAATAGCATAAAATATAAAGTTTTTCTAAAATAAAAAGCTTGATAATTATCTGGAGGTTATTAGAAGGTTATAGAGATTTCTCATGCAAAATTTGACAGTTTCTGATGTATAGAAGTATTTTTAATCTTAAAATCAAAATTACTTTGCATGTTAGATAGTCAACATTCAAAAATAAAAAATGTTAAAACTTAATTAAAAATCTGATACCTTGTGTATGAATGCCTTGTAATGTTTACTGATAATCTGCAAATTTCGTGAAGATACTTATGCATTTTAAAAGTGACAGTGTAACTACTTTATGGTTACTGTATATATGTTTCGTAAATGATATTATCAAATTAACAAAAAAATAAAGCACATATATCCATTTGTTTAAAAATACATGATATACAGTTCAACTACATGAACAATTACATTTTGAAGTACATTCCAAACAGCTCATTTTTGAATTACCTTTTCACCATCTTCCAATTATTTTAAGATACTATTGACAAAAACAGTATTTATATAATTAATGTACATGTAGCTTAAATGCATGTGTACAAAATTAAACATTTAACATTATCAAAATTCAACATATAATCTCTAATTTTCTATTTTACATATCTACTATTCACCACATGCATGAAAAGGTTCTGAATATGAAATGTAGACATTCTTACATGATCATACATACCAAACAGAGTAAAACTAAGGACAATCTTACAAAATAATACACATTACTAGACTAAGTATTAGCTAAAATAGTTTTTGCTTCTTCACATAGGTAAATTTGGTTTGGAGTGTTTTTTTTGGTACAAAGCCTCATAGGTTATCTGTGCAAGCAATTCGGTATCATCTTGTTTTCTTAACCCTTCTAATACGGGTAGGTGGATTCCACCCAGCCCATATTCCCAAAATCACCTTTTAAAATGTTGTCACTGAAAAATTATTACATCCAGAGTTTAAGATATTATCCTACTGTGAATTAAAAATGATCACTTAAAATTATGTTTGGAGAATTCTCCACTAGATTTAACTAATGCAGTGTCACTTTGCTAAAATGTAGGATTTCTCTAACTGTAGCTTGATCAAAACTTTGTAATGTTTATAAAATACAAAACTTAAGGTAAGTTGTTTTCTAATTACTGTTTGTTTTCACTGTCTATGTAACATCTTTGTATAATTGAATGAAATGTTTCCTTCTTCTTCCCTTTTCTTTTGTGGATGTTGGGATTTCAGGATTTCAAATAAGGGTTGAAAAGAGGTAATAAGTGAAAATTACCATAAAATGTAAATTTTAAATCTCTTTCTGTCTTTGATTGACTTTTAATTAAAGTGCAATTTTAAGCCAGAAAACCTTTTAAAATGAATTATTTAAAAATGTTCACAATTTTTTAAAGGATTGATTATCCAGAGTAATGGGTTGCTTTACAAATGAATTGCGTTAAGTGAATAGATATAGCTCTATGGTTAGTTTATTCTGTATTTCTTTCTTGTAACAATTTTTGTATAAATATGTATTTTTCAACATAATTTTTATAGTGTAATATTTTTCTTTATTTAAGGATACCAAAAGTTTGGTGACTAGAAACATACAAACATCTAGGTTCAAACCAGAAAAGTTTGTTAAAGAAAAACCAGTAAGTTTTTGATGTCAAGTTCAGTAAGTTCTGTAGTAGTAGTTTAGTTTAAACTTAGTGTTGTTATTATTATTTTTTTACTAGAAGTACACCACCGATTTGCTGGATTATTCGTTTTGCCGGACCAACAGAGGTCATGTAATAATAATTCAACAATACACCTCTCACCCACTAATTATGCCCCTCTCTTGTCTCTAAAGCACCATCGACTGCTAGAAACTTGAATAAAACAAATATTAAATGTACATTAAATGATTAATGAAATACTTTAATACAGGTATAAATGATACAGGTTTATTAGTACAGTATAAATGAAAAAGGTTTATTAATTACTGTACTTACACTATTATAAACATTCTATGTTGTAAAAAATTGAAGAAAAAATCAAAACTAAATATTTGTATCTTGTTAAGCTACGTATTCTTGGCAACATTCATGAAAAAAATCAAAACTAAATATTTGTATCTTGTTAAGCTATGTATTCTTGACAACATTCATGAAAAAAATCAAAACTAAATATTTGTATCTTGTTAAACTACATATTCTTGACAACATTCATGAAAACATTAAAACTAAATATTTGTATCTTGTTAAACTACATATTCTTGACAACATTCATGAAAAAATTCAAGCAATTTGATCCACTAGTTTAATATCTATAAGAAAATGTTCACAAGAGTGACGTATCTACTTAAAATTTAAGTAGCCTGTCTTGAAAGAGCACGTATCACACGTAATGCCATCTGTGGCAAAAGGAGGTGCCAGACCATCAGTTACCGGAAAATCGGTGGTGTACTTCATAAATGTTTTTGAGGAAATTTTCTGTTTTCAGAAGGAGTGAGAGGTAATTATGACCTAGGAACATTTTGATGAATAAAAGTGTAATGTAATATTTTTAATATTCAGGGATTTTGCAACAATTTTTTTATGTGGGTTTCTGGAACCAGTAACACACGAATCCCTAAGTAAGCCATGCGTAAGTAGCAGTCTAAGTACATGGCCCAGAGCAAGGTTCATGTCAGGTGGAAGGAACACATTAGCAAAAGAAATAGATTGCGAATATTAAATTTTCTTGACCCATTAGTGCCACAAATAAATCATTCTCTGCACTTTGGAACCATGGATAAGTTATAATAGTAATAGTAAAATCCCACTATTTGGTTAGAGTAGCCTCCGAGTTGGCTGTGGTTGGTGTTGACTAGCTGCCTTCACTATAGTCTGTCATTTCCAACTCAGGGACAGCTTGAGTGTATAGCTGCTTTGCACAAAAATCAATAAGCAATAACAACCGCCTGGTTTAAATTATGATATTAATCTTCTAGTTTTCATTAGGATATACATGATATACAAGTGCTATTGTTTTGCAATTAGGTAAATTGAATGTTATATTTCTGTCTTAAATGATGGAAAAAGTACTTTAGAGTACATAAAATAGTCTTGAATTGTGTCATGAAATTATATCAATAGATTAGATACACCAAGACATTGTAGACTAATGAATATTTTATTTTCAAAATGATCACATATCTGTGTAATTTTCTATGTGCATATATAATTAATTCTTTCATAAAGTGATATGTAATTATTTCAACTATTCAGAAATTTGACACTTTTGTAGCTAATATCCCATTAACTCTTTTGCTGCTGGCAGGTTAAAGAGCGCATGTCATGACCTTTTCGAGAGTTATTTTCAAAATTTTATTAAATAACTTAACTATTATTTCTTGTCAATGGAATTGACATCAAAACACAGTTTATAATTTATATTTTAATATTATATATGTATTAAGGAAGTATAAAAAAAAGCTAAATATCAATTTTTGTTTGTCACATAGCACCTACTATTGTCTTATTGCTCAGTTTATATTTTATTATGTCTACCGTACAATGTGTGCAGTGGTTAACGAATTAGAAACTTGAGTTTGAGCTAGAACATAAAATAAGAACCTCCCACCTCTTCGATTTGCTGAGATGTCAATATATTTAACCAATCCAGTAGAGTGGCTCCTCCCACTACTCCATTCTTTTGAAATCTCTTGCCTAGTCCCACCTACATCATTTGATTAAGTGTTTACTACCAACAGAAAGAGCAGTTTCCTGTGTATGAAATCTGACAGTTTATAAATAGCTTGAAGGAGAAAGTCATGCCAAAATTGTTGAAGTGTTATGACTAAGTTGTTGCTCTGAACAAATGAGATTTTTTTAGTCATATATAGCTTGTTTAGAAACCCAGTTAAATTACAGGGGTTTTGTGTGCACTAATATAGTAAGTTGATAATTATTTTGTTTTCCAAAATGTATATTTGAAGACGACAAAAATTAATATCTCTTCACTCTCCACTTGGAAGAATAAACGAGGCTTATGGCAAGGCTTAGCATGTATGACGCATGCATGAGCACAAAATCTCATAATGCTGTAACTACCTAATCTTTGTTTTTTGAAATATTTTTTATTTATTTTTCTATGTTTTAATAAAAATAACTAAAATTTAAGCATTTGTGAATAAATAGTATGTATTGGTTGACGTATAAGTCTGCTGAAAGGTAAATAGGATTTTATAACCATGTGCACAAATAATATCTGTGTGTGTGCCTATATGGTGTACTGCTAAATTCCAAACATCCCAGAAGGATGACCAATACTCACACACTTGCAATGTTTATTGTATTAACTCTGAACCAAATAATAAATATTTTCATAGATTCGAAGTGCAATATTATTACTCTGGGGAATTCTCATTGTAAACACTGTAGAATACATAAGCTGATAAATTCCACATTGTGTTCTTGGAGCAGGGATCAAGTTGGCTTAATTCTTCGTGTGTGCTTTGTTGCTCTTGAGAGTAACATATTACAGTGGCACATAAACAGTCTAATGACACAAGCGGTGACTTGTTGCTTTATTTTCATCGGATTTCTATTTCAGTTGTTGACAGTAAAATAAACACAGAAAATAAATGTGAAATGTTGAGCAGTTCAAAATCTCAAGAGAAGTACTTTGTTACTTTGTGACCAATGATAAAGAGAAAAGGGCACAGCTGCTCATCTTATTTCTTATTTTATAACTTTTCATTATGCTTTGATGATTTGTCTACTGGCTGAAGAGTCAAATATATTGTTAGGGTAGAGGTAATAACAGATAAAATATAGTTTTACTAAAAAATAAGTTTTATATTTATGTATGTGGTTTTGAAGGTTGCACAAATGAAATTTGAGATTTTTGAGACAAAGAAAAGTATTTTTAATCTAAATTTAAAATTCACTTTGCACTTGGACTAGTCAAAAATAGATTTGAAATATTCATGGACAAATCTTTAGTAAAAATACTTAACTAAAAAAATGTGTTCAAATGACATGTAATGTTTACTAAAAGTGTGCCAAAGTTTGTGAAGATACACAAACTTTATTAAAAGTTATAGCATGGAAACTAATGAGTACAAAGTGGTTAATAGGTTGGTCAATTCGACCGACTCCATGTTAAGAGAGTTAATGAATAAAAACAAGTTGATTTTCCAGTGATAATTACTTTGTATGATATTTAAGTCTTGTTGGAAACCTCAATTATGAAGTTTGTGTTCTGAACTCAACTGATGAGGATGTATTATTGAAACAATACTTAACCAAATCTGCAAAAAACAAAAGAGAATGTTAGAAGCAAAATTACTGTATATTGGGTCACTTGAAATTGCCCTTTATGAAATTTGAACTTAGTTTTAAAACAATTTAAATTATAATTGGAAAGCATTATAAATGGTTCTTAGCTAAAAATGGCATTTAGTTTATTTTCATCCATAGTAGGAACTTGATAATGAATGAGCACTTTATTAATGTATTAGAAGCTGTAAAATCATAAATAGTCACTCAAGTAGCATAATTGTAAAACTACAACCTTTTTTTTCTTTTAAAATGCTTGTACTTATTATCTGAAAGATATTAGTTTTAGTGAATCAAAAATAAGAGATACAGAAATTATAATGATTCTCATTTTAAATATGCTTGTTGGCATACTGATGGAATCAATTGTACAGTGTATTACTGTTTTTTAATCTAGACCTTTCATATGTTACAAATTTTACTTGGTGGACATTTTGTTTTTGATCCTCCTTGTGGCACCCTGTGTCTTTAAAGTAATCAACAGTTATGGGTATAGGTTATCTAGTTTTCTTTCTGAAATAAATAAAGATTCATTGGTGTGAGTGAATAAAATATCAAAGTTAATGGACTTCAAAGAAAGTCAATTATAGATTGGTACATGGGACCCCATTGCCTTTTGAAATACCTTTTTTGTAAACTATTTATATACAAAATTGCTTGTGGATGTATGACTTTATTGATTTCATGGTCCATAATAACATGAGTGAAGAAAGTGTAAAAAAATACCATCACTATTGCAGTTAATTCCACTAATTACTGCTAGGGTTCCCTATCAGGCAGGTGGTAGCACTGTCTATGTAGGGATGGCTTGGATTGTTCATTGAAATGGTATTTTAAATATTTCCTCAATAGGTCATCATAACTTTATAACTTTACTCTACAGTGTTTTCTTTTATAATAATATCTATGTATTGATTGAGTCACAAGTTCAGGGAATGTCTAAGTATCATAGCAAAAAGTTTGAATTTCTTGTTCTCCTTTCTTTTGCTTCTTTTTTGATTACATGATAACTTAAAAACCAAAACAATGATGTCAGCCAATTTCACTGAGGTGACATAGTTTCAAAGGAGTATCTGCTTTTATAATTATTAATAATATCTAGTAGTAATTTTAAAAAATCATAATTCTAGTGTAAATGATGTTATCATTACCCATTGAAGTTAGCCTTCTTACAGAAATTTGGTGTTCCTGTAAAAAGCTTAAATGCAGGGTGAAACAGGGATTACCAGCCAATAATAGATGCATAATAAATATTACAGGTGGAACCTCATTGTATTAAGAACATGGTTATAAATACAACCTTCCTATGTCTATTGAAACATTGCACTAAAAAAAACAAGTAAAGGAAAAACTTTTCAAAAAAAGGAAGTAGTTATATTAGTTATATATATTGTAATATGCTAATTCTTGCCTGTAGGGATGATGCAAATGCTATCCCTACTATCTTGCTTGTATTGTTTTTGAAGGATTGATATTAGCCATTCTTACGTTTACTTCCTTTTTTGAAAAGTTTTTTTCTTTACTTGTATTTTTTTGTACAGAAAACAAGTGATTTTATCCAGTGTTTTTGGTCAGTTCTTTACACTGATTGTTTTAAGTCAAAAACAAAATTTCTATCCTATTCATACTGAATGATATAATAAAAAAAGTCAATATTTTGAGACTTAAGATTTGTTCCATATGAAAAATATTATTATACAGGTCTTCGGTCAAACTACTAATCAAAATAAATGGAATATTTACACATGATTTCATTTCAGTAAAATATGTTTTGTGGGGTTCTGTTCAAGTTTATTAGAAAATAAGTTGTTACTGTAACATTTCATTCAGTATTAAATATATTTTACTTTAGTTAATGATAACCGTTACTTTAAAAGGTTAAGGTCTTCAGAGTATAATAAACTATACAAGTTATTTGTGAGATAAAATTTAGTAATATTAACTCCTATCCCTTCATGAGACGTTATTAGAAAAAATAGTATCCGAACACCATGTAACTTGAAAAATATTTATTCTTTTTACAATTATTTTATCACTTGGTATCTGTAAGATGTATGACCAATTACTCAGAGAGCAGAATTTTCTTTTTTTCTTCTATATTACCTAGTATCTATAATAATTGTTTTCATTGTCATTTCTTGTATATTTTGTGAATTAAGTATTATATAATTTTTGAAAATTCCTGTTGAAGCTTTAACTTGATTCTGTCATCAGTATTAGTATGCTATATTTGTATTTATTGGTAGTTTGTAATTTTTTAGCCAATGGTTCGACCAGTATCTAATGCTGACCATGCAAATCGCCAACATTTCATTGACATCATATCAGCAACTGGAGGGGCTCAACCCCCACAGCTAAACCCGTACCACAACCAATACACTTTATTTCCTCAGGAAACTATCTTCAATACTGTTCCAGAACAAGGTAATTAGTAAAACAAATTTTGAGTTCAAAATGACTGAAATATGATACCATATATTAATAGATAATCTTAATTTATTAGGCTACTAAGTTAAGTAGCTGATATGTTCATATAATACATATCATAAGCTAAAATTTAATGATGTTCCAGAAACTTTAAAATTCTGCTTTTAATAGGTTAAATAGTGAGCGTTAGGTTTTTGAACAATTTTTTTTAGATATGTACATGTGCTATCAAGGAGGTATCTATTTAGGTCAAGTAGCATTCTTGTCTTTTCACATCAACCAGTAAGTTGAGTATTCTAATATATAAATCTCTAAAACAGTGAAATTTTCAAATGCAAATGTTTAATATGGAGTGTATAATGTTACTTTTATGAAAAAAAATAATTTGTATCAGGTAATGTAACTATACAATTGGCTTCTCAGTAACTAATTACATATTAATTTTTTGTACTTAATACTCTATTTCCTCTTCTTTAAATGTGGATTCATGTGATGAATGAATCTTTCAGAGAAGATCCTGCTTATGTGGATTATCTTCTCCAGGATCTAAACATTTATCTGTATGGTGACGTGTGAAAGGAATGAGAGGATTTTAGCAGTTGAGGCATGGTCCAGCAACTAGATGCCAAACTGAATTTGAGAGTCTGTAGTTTGTATTTCATTGTCACAAAAATGTGTTCTGCAGTTTGGGGCCATGTGTGCAATATAACAATTATAGTCAAATGTCACTATTTGATTAGCTTGTCTATCAGTTTACAATTATTGATAGCTAGCACACATCATTCTTGTACAGCTTTCCACGACTATCCAAAATAAACAAACAAACTATCAGCTGAGTTCTGGGTATATATTGCTTGGGTTGGAATAGTATACTGGTCTTTGAATTCTTGTAGATTTGTTGGTTTAAGGTGTTTTCCCTCAAGGTTCAGCTGGGTCAGTACATGCTAGGATTAACTAAACATATTCATTTACCTCCTGTCATGGGTTTGAGTAATGTGCCCTGAAATACCTGGTGTTGGTGCAATATCCACTTGTAGGACTTCTTGAAATATGCTGCTGAGCTATGATCCCTTTCCAGCATCCCACTTGATATTGTGTCAGTGAAATACACTATATGTAAATAGATGGTTTTATGTATCTGTTCATTGTCTTCATATCCTGGCATTGTTGAATGATTTCAGTCGGATTTTTGATAGAGTTACTGTGTTTGATGGTCAACCCACCACACCATAATTGATTATTTTTCTCACGATATCTCTCTTTGAGTTTCTATTGGATATACAAGACTGTTTACTTTAAGAGTTATTTAGTTTGTTTTGTGATTTAATATTTCATGATTATTTAGTTTTCACAACAAGTGTTAAAAGTTAATTGTTTTAAAATCAATAATTTTAACAAGTTTTGTTATGTAACTCTGTACGAGTCGTACGTTGTTATGCAGTTTGATTGTTGTACTAAGCTTTAGTGATATTGTTGACATCATTTTACTCGAAGCTTCCAAGTTTTTCTTGTTGTGTGTAATATTGTTATCACTAGAGGGCAAGATATTTCTATTGCATGTTATAAATACATGCAGATACAGAGAGAAAGTTAAGAAAGCGAGTTAAGTGAGAGATAATTAGACAGATCTAGACTGAATGATTGGCAGTTTAGCTGTGATGGGAAATTTTTAAAGAAGTTAAAGTTAAGTTAGAAAACGTTAAGTTAATGAAAGTGACGTTAGACTTCGTGATTGTTAGTTTGGCCATAATGGGCAATACTTAAAGTGAGTTTCACTGTGGTATCATAATCAAAGAGATGAAGGAGAATAATTTGTCTTGTCAAAGGGTGTTTTAAGGTAATTAAACCCACCTGTGTGGACTTTGACGAAAATGAGACAATTATTTGAAGTTCTGGGTACAACTATGGTAACCCATGGGGTAACGTAAGTTGCAGATTGTGAAGTGAGAAATAGAATAGAGAAAAATAATTAATCTTGTCAATTGGATTCTAAAGTAATTGAACCAGACTGTGTGGACTTTTGATGCAAAAGAAAACTATTTACAACTTTAGATACAAGTTTGATAACCAGTAGTGAAACATAATTTTTTATATGCATTTTACTTGTTTTAAATGTATTATTTTAAAACAAGTGGATTGTGTGCTGTCTGTTTATTGTTGACATTTATCCTCAACAAGTCACAGATACCTACTGTAAAATAATCCCAGCCCATATACGAAAACCCTGACAGTTTCAATAAAATGTCTGGCACTCTGAGTGGAAATTCAGACAATTTTGTTGTTTATATATAATCACAGTTCTCTGAAGTTGCTCATAGGATTCATTTAATGACTTCTGTGTTCACTGCAAAGTTATGTCAAATGCCACATTAACGCTTGTTGGTACAGTTGGTGTACCATTTACACTGATTAAGTTTTGCCAATTTTGAAAATGCTTAATAATAGTCCACACCCCATATTTTCTCAACTTTACATTAAACTGGCCTCTTTATCCTCACAATCTTTGGTTATCTTGTTGTTTTTTTTATTCTTGGCTATGTTCTTAGAAGGAGGTATGAGCTGTTGGAGCACCCAGTAATAGGCCTTCTCTGCTATAACTGAGCCTCCACCCTTTCTATACCCAGGTTTTTAAACTTTCCAGAAAGAAGGGATTTCTTATCTCTTGACAGAAGCTTTGGAAAGAATGGCAAACTTACAAGCTTTTCTAGGTCAAACCTAGATGTCTAATTTGCATAAGTTTCATAGGGAGGAAGTTGCTTAAGAAAGGTTTTGCATTAATCATTGTTTAACTCACCACCAATGTGTAAACAGTATATAGTCCTCCCTCCTTATAATGCCATCCTCACTTACTCTCATTCACCTGGCAGTCTTCTGTACAAAAAACACAAGTGATAGAATTTCCTCTCTGTATACTGCCAATGGCATGTTGATAAAATTATATATATATTTATGTAACTGTTTGGGTATACTTATGTTTAAAGCAATGTTGATCTAATTAAATAAAGTTTAGATCTTAGTACTAGTAAAACTTGTGTGTCCTCATTATCTAGTCAAGCATTTTTGCATTTACACAAACACATAGTTAGTATTAAAATGGAATCTTGAAAAAGGCATGTTAAGTTTCACAGTTGATCGCAAGCAAGAAAAACATGAATACACTAAAAGGAATCCAACTAAGAAGATATGGCGTTTTATTTCATTGCTACATAATGTTTCTGTCAAATGATAAACAAATGAAAATACTGAATACTTCAAGGTGAAAGGATGTCAGTATTTGAGAAACAGCAGAGAACCCAGGCCTAAGGATGTTACTTTTATTTTATATTCTGTACTTCAAGGGTTTTTGTTCAGTTTATGTTCATGTTAATTTTTTATACATTCTGTATGTGTATACTTACTCAATATTTTATATGCACATTACTATCATTAATTCAACCTTTTTATCCATTAGTATATACTGTAGTTACATGAGCCACTGAGATGAGCAGTTAACCAAGAGCTCTATTAAATACGTGTACACTGTATACAAATATGGCTTACACTCAACGCCTTATTAAAATGTCACCATTATTATACTGCCAAAGATATGCTGATACCAAGATTGGCATTATAATGAAGGAGATATAGAAACCTGACTAACACCTATATTTAACTCTTTTTTCCATTGCTTTGACATTCAGTAGAGATATGTACATTTTATGTTGAACAAAGTCATTGATGCTCTCCAATCATGTTTTTAGCTGTTACATATGCAAGTGGATTTTACCATGTAATCACTTGTTTTTACTATTTACTTTTCTTTTGTGTTTTTATTTTACTGTTTCTTAAAACATTTTTCATTATACTTTAATATATAATAAAGCTTGTTTAGTACAAATGGCTTTAGCTGTTTCGTGCACTGAAAACCCCAAACAAGACTAACATTTTACTTTTCTTCTTATGTGAATCTGTTCTTAAAAAAATATTTTTAGTCTTTCATGATATTTTCTTGTCAGTTAGTCTCAAATGGCTAAATATTCTTCTGCTCTTTTGTAGCTGTACTTTGCTGCCCTTAATTTTTGCTTTAAGATTTCTACTCTCTTTTTTAGAGAAAGGGTAAGAGTATGTTTATGCATGCATATGATTCTCTCAAGCTTTAGTAGTTGTTGGATGTTTTCCACTTTGTAATGAGTCGGCTGTATAGTTCTGTTTCATTGAGGTGTTTTTTTTTCCATTTTTGACAGATATCTTCATATTGGGTCAAGGCTGTTATTTTGTTCATGCCAATATAGATTTATTTTATTTTAGTCTTAGGGTTCTTCACCTCACCTACTTTTAGTGTGTCTGATTTCCTCTTTTCTGCTTACAGGTTATGTCTGTAGAAGTCTGATGGTCAAGAGTTTTACTTTTCTTTAGACAAGGATATCTTGAATATGATTGTAGATTTTTTATTCATTTTGTTACACACACGTGTTTCTGGTCATGGATTTATTTTGTGTAAGTATCATTCTGATTAATCCATATTTCAAGATAAAGAATTAAAGGAACTTAGATGTATATTTTTTCACACTTTGTGGTTAATCAAGTTTAGTTTATCAGAAATCTTACAGTCTCCTTATGCAAAAGCAGCGAGTCTACAGACTTATAATTCTAAAATCCAGGATTCGATTCTATGCACTGGACACAGCAGATAGCCCCACGTGGCTTTGCTCTAAAACAAACAAACAAACAGAAAGCTTAGCTATTCATATTACTGTCTCTTGACCTTTCCTTCATTGTAGTTGTTGTTTTGTTCACAGAGATATAGTTTAAGAGTTTTTAAGTTCTTTTGTTTGGATTTGAGTTGACTCCTAATATTCTCATCTGGTTGATGAAAACTTTTGCAACTTGTTTTTATTCTCTAAAGTTGGACTTTTATTTCTGTAATGTCAATTAGATTATTTATGGCATTGGAGAATTTTCAGTGTACTTTATATATGAGTTTATATGTAGAATTGATTCTCAAGCACTCCAAATAACATCTTGTTACCAGTCAGTTTTTGTCCAACTGAGGTTGCTCATCACTTGTTTCTTGAAGTAGATCTAATAGGTGCTCTAGTCTGTTATAGGCTTAATAAGTCACCTGGCAAAAATAATATGGGCCATGCTTTTGTAGCTGTTTCTGTGGCTTAGTTCTTTACTGGATACGGTTTGTGAAATGATTGTAGCACCCTAATTTTGTACATGACTTGCAACTGATGCTGAAACTTATATTATGCTCTGACCCATAAATATTGTCCCTCTTTTATGTCAATGCTGTTCATAACTCAAGAAAAGTACTACACAGTTATCTTAATCCCTTTATCTTTTCAATATAGGAATTGAAAAACCTTTTATTCGTCCAAAAGTCCATCATTTCCAATGTTAAGAAGATAACTTTAAAAATCAACCACAAATAGTGCTTACAGTTCTTCTTATATTGAAAGGAAACATTATTTTGAAAACAACAAGATGGAATATCATTGTCAAAATAAACTTTTGAAATGATAGGATATTTTGGTGATGCTACTTTTAAAATTAAGAAATAGATATAAAATATTATTTTTTCTATAAGATATTGTGCAGTCTGAATAATTGAATGAATTTCAAAAATTAATACATTTTGTATTTATAATCACTACTAATTTCATGGATTTAAGCAAATAAAACCACATATTTTGGAAAATCTATTTGCATTTACTTGCACTGATTTGTATTTTGAGTTTCCTATCTTCTTTGTGTGTTAGTTCTTGGAAACAATTTGATCTAAAGTGACGTATTACAAGAAATTACAGTTTTCAAAATAATATTTAAATGAAGACCTGTACAGCTTTAATACATATTGAAGTTTGTGAATACTTAATACACATAATTTCCTTGTTTTTGTTACAGAAACACTGGGATTTTCCAGGAGGCTAGTAAATCTTTCTCCAGAGACTGGTTTGCCTCATCAGACAACTTCTCATGTTCTTGGAGAATATTTTCCTTGTGGTTAGTGAGTCAACTTTATTAATTATAAGTTAGTATACTAAGCTTCTCATAGCATAATTGTGCTTATGAGAAAAGACATTCATACTTCTTTAAGATTGTATATACAAAATTTACTAAACATTTGCATATAATTTAACAAATCCTTTTATAAATAGCTTTTTTTGTGAACTTTGAATAAAATGAAGCAACTGTTAAGTCTGTTTCTATTTAATAATAGAAGAAAACTAGTAGTGTTTGTGAGTGTTTGCTTTGTGTTGTGTGTGTGTGTATATACTTGTGTTCTCAGAGAGTATTTGTTTAGTCATATTAAGCTACTTAACATACACATATTTTGTAATTTCTTCCATGTGTAGCTATTCCACTTGGTCCACCCATACAAAAAAGAAGTCCAGGTTTAGTGATTGATCAGACAAATTCTGTTATAATTCCTAGTTCCTCTGAAAAAAGGCAGCTTCAAGAAAAAAATAAAGTTGGTGTTGTGAATATTTTTTCTGGAATACCCAAACTAGAAGAAAACAGCAAACAGTTAATTACACAGGTAAAGTATACGTATATCATATGAAAACGTGCTGCTAATAATAAATCAGGAGACAAACAAGTATTTTCTGTAACTTGAAGACCATGAGCCGTATAGAAATTTTCTTCTTTTTTTGTATTGTAGTTCTAGTACATTCATGCGGGTCTTGTTTATATGTATCTGTGTATATAGAAAGCTGTGTAGTACTAACCGTTGATGCTATAATTAGAATACTCTATCTGTGTAAGTTATGATTGTCTACTACAGAATGGAAATTCATGAATTATTGTAGTATTTATCTTTAATCTCTATTTGTATGTTTTTCTATAACTGAAACAAAGATAGATTTTTAGTTTTAATTTGTAGAAAACCTGAAAGCTGACATGAAACTATAGTTGTAAATATGATTGAATATTTCTTATAAAGTAACGGCAAAGCTGTTATATATGGTTAGGGGAAAAAAGGGTATAAAAGATAAATACTACAGGATTGCAACCCCTCTAATGTGTGAAAATAAATATTTCAATCCATTCATGTTATTCATAATTGAAGAAAATATATTTGATTGTTGATCAGGAGTAAAAGTAAAGACCATTTCATTTTTCAAAGAAGTGAAGTCAGAGTCTTCAGGTATGGTGATGTGTTAGTTCATTATGTTGTGGTCTTTCCTCTTAAATCTTCTACAAATAAGAAACAGTAGCACTTTATTTTTGCTTCAAATTACCTACCATAATCAAGGCACATTATTGAGAAATTCTTCAAGATCTTGTTTTTGTCATCTTACCCCTTTTAATGAAGATGGGAACATTGACAGGGAAATAGATTTGAACAAAGAAGTTTTGTAAAGAGCGCGAACGATAGTGTGAT